TTCATTCTAGAATGAAAGAGGCATAATTTATGTTTATTTCCTAATTTTTTATGGTGGTTGTGAGATTGTTCAAACCTCCTGAACCCGTACAGAGATTAATTACTGAAAATAACAGATAAAATATAAAGTTTTTTCTTAACAAACATAGTCTTAGATCTTAGTTTGAAGGCTTAGTTGTCATGGAACAGTTATATTAGCTGTTGAAAAGAGTCAGTGAAGGTCTTAGTTTGAAGGCTTAGTTGTTAGTAAAAGTCATTGAAGGCCTTAGTTTGAAGGCTTAGATATCATGGTAAAGTTATATTAGCTTTTAATAAAATCAATGAAGGCCTTAGTTTTAAAGCTTAGTTGTTATGGAAGAGTTATATTAGCTGTTGGTTCAAATCAATAAAGGCTTAGTTGTCATGGAATAATTAGATTAACTGTTAGTAAAAGCCAGTGGAGGGCTTAGTTTGTACAAAGAGGATGTATGTTGAAGAAACAAAGGTATAAGCTAAACTATTTTGTATGAATCACTTTTTTTTTAACGTAACTTTTGGAATATAAAATATGCATTAGGTTTTGTCATAATAAATTTTTGTATTCTAGGTGTATTGGATTGAGGACTGTAAGCTTTTTTTAATTAGATGTCTGTGTATTAATATTATCCACGTTAGTCCCTCTGAAAACTTGAAGTGCTCGTCCAGTATATTCTTTTCTGTTAGTGTAAGCTGAATTTAAAGTATAAATAAGTGACAATAAGTTCTGTAAACATACAATATCAACACCAGATTCTCAATTAGCATTCAAAATTTTTAATAAAATTGTTATTATTCTTATACTAGAATTACGTTATAAAGATCAGAGAAATAAAATAGATACAAAAGATTTTCAATACAGTCATGAAATAGGTATTTTTTGTAATAATAATGTTATTTTTTATAGAAATTGTCCACAGTTTATCTAATGTACATGAAACTTTTCCTTTACAATGAACTTTATAAACAGTCTGAGTTAACATAGTGGAAAGATGAAAAGACAAGGCAAAGTCATTCCCAGCATGTGTTGTACAGCATAAATACTGTAATTATGCTAAGTCATAAAAACCTGTATCACAGAACTTCTTCAAGTACATCTTCTTTATTAATAGTTTTCTCTTCACTTACAGAAGACCTTGTGCCAACAGAAACCATAGATGTGGGATTATCATTATCCAATATTTCTTACACCCCAACCATTCCTTGCACTACTTCAAATGTCATATCCCCACCAGTTTCAGGAAATCACCAGGAATTGGCCTCACCTTCTCCATCATCAATCCAAGGTAGGATTTTACACAATTCTTGTTTGACTCTTATGACCCCACTTGTATTGTAAACAGAGTATCTAATCTAAATAAGATGTTAAACAATGTATGTTTGAATATTGTGTCTCCGTTCCTGTTGATAACAGATTATCTGTTCAAGGTAGGAAGTTAAACAATGTATGTTTGAATATTGTGTCTCCGTTCCTGTTGATAACAGATTATCTGTTCAAGGTAGGAAGTTAAACAATGTATG